TTTTTAAGACATTTTTCAGAACAAAAATAAGACATCAGTTTTACAAAATAAAATAATTCGTGATCGGGTCAGCAATGTGATATATTGTTTAATGCGGGTGTACTTATACAGGATGTCCCATAACCGCACTAGGGCCTCTATTCTGTATACGTTATTGATGATTTTCAGTGTTGTTGCGCAGCTTTTCTTATAATAAAAAATGCTGCGCAACGACACCGAATCATCGGTAACGTGTACAGAATAAGGGCCTAGATCTCGTGGGCTGATAGAGTAGATTAAACAGAAAACTCCTCTACCATTTTGCAAAATTCGCAATCGTTAACGAGATATTAATTTTTTTGAATATTGACGTATCCGTCGGCCTACTGCTGAATGCAGGCACGCAGCGAGGTACGCCAGCCCCAACGCTGGTATAGTTACTAGCCAGTAGTCGACGAGCGGTGGGACGGTTATATCTCGCCGCGCGCCTGCATTCAGGATTGTGTTCCAAAACTTACTCGGGTAACCAAAACTCTATAGTTTATGTCACGTTAACTATAGAATTTTGGTTATCTGAATAAATTTTGGAACGCAGCCCAGCGGTATAGGAACCGTGGTACTTGGATCCTAAAGATCCGAAATCCAGAGGGGTAGAAAGAAGAAGCGGTATGGCGAACGAATATGCGTTTATTCGCCGATCTACAAAAATTTATATCTCTTTAGCGATTGCGAATTTTACAAAATGGTAACTTTTCTGTTTCATCTGTTCTACCTGCTCACGAAGTCTGGTGCGGTTATTATGGGACACCCTGTATATATATTTTATTGCTTTTGAAATTAGAAATGATGGAATCTGTATTGCGAATCGAACGTTCTAAAATGTAAGATCGCAATTTTTATCGTGATCCAGAAAAGACATATTACAGCTGAACCGCAGAGTATAAATATATAAAATATACCTACATATAATTTAAAAAAAAATTACTTTTTTCAAATTGAAAAAAATCCAGAAAAATTTCGATTTCTTTCCTAAAAATTGGTTTTTTGCAAAAAATTGCATGTAAACGATATGCTACCTAATTTTTAATATTTTTCATCATATTAAATATGAATGGGATTCAGAAAGTAATGTAAGTGATTTATTTTAATTTGCTTGTTACAATGTGTAAATTTTTTATTTAAATTAGATATAAGTTTATAACTCTTGTATTTTATAGCATTATTAAAATAAGACACCTTGTATAAACGCTGGAATTAATAATAATTAGTTAATTTGTATGTTTACATTTGAATATTATACTCCTCGAGATGAGGATTATTTATTATTAAGTAAACTGTTTTAGAAAACGCAATCCTAACAACTAATGTAAAGATTAATTTAAGCTGATATTTATATTAAGTATTTTTAAAGAGTTTTGATTATTAATTGTCAAGAGCCATACGTTTTATTTGAAAAATACATTAACTCTGTTTTTTTATTTATTCTTATGTAATTTGCTTATTATTTCTTCAGTTTTTAACATTATCAGTAATAAATATACGCTTGTTATAAAATTTTTTAATTTTGGAATGTGTATCAAAGTGTTGCATATATAAAACGTGATAGATTTTACGAATATACAGGGTGTCCGGTAATAACCGCCCAAAATCTCGTGGGCTGGTAGAACAGATCAAACTGAATCGAAAAGTCCTCTATCATTTTGCAAAATTCGCAATCGTTAACGAGATATTAATTTTTGAAGATCGGCGAATAAACGCGTATCCTTCCGCCTACTGCTGAATGCAGGCGCGCGGCGAGATACGACCGCTCCATCGCTGGTAGTTGCTAGCCCAGCTAGCCGGTAGTTGACGAGCGGTGGGGCGGTCGTATCTCGCCGCGTGCCTGCATTCAGCGGTATGGCGGACGGATACGCGTTTATTCGCCAATCTTCAAAAATTAATC